CATATACTTTTCTTTTCTCCTGTTAATGAATGTTGAAGCAGCGATTGTTTGTTGTCCATATTCAATGGGTGATGGCACTCAGTGTGAGCAAGGCAGTTTCCAGGTGTCCACCTCTGCTGTTCTTTTACTAAGGGCTCTCTTGAATGCTGTTCTGCACAGGACAGGCTTGGAATGCCTGAGAATTAACTCTATGTGGGAATTCCCTCCTTCTCCTAGCACCAACAAACCTCAATCATGAGCAGGTAGCAATTGGTTTTTATATAATCTAGCCTCTCTTTTGAAGAAGGATATAATGCTGAAATCTGCTTCATATCACATGAAAATTTCCCCCACAAGATTAAACTCCAGTTCCTGGTAGCTGGATTGTAGGATAACCTCCTTTATTTAAGGTGTTTTCTTCCTCATCATCTTCTGCCCTCCTCTCCTGGTGGCTCCCGTACTGCCCAAACATATTAATTAGGCTCAAATCTTAGTGTCTGTTTCGGAATGAATCCAATATAAAATGGTTCCGAATTTCCTGATTGGGTTTTCTAATTTTAAACTCACTCTGTATTCCTGAATAAACCATTCTCTCTTACTAGATTTGTTTGGGTAAAATTGCCTGTGAAAGACTTCTTTTTCATCAGCATTTCCTGTTGTGTTTAGGTTTGATATCAAGGGAATTCTGTCCTTGTAAAATGTGTGAATGAACTGACATTTGTCTATTCACTGGAAGAGTTTGTGAAAGACTAGAATTATTACTTTCTTGAATATCTGAAGAGATATTTGAATCTCACCATGGGTTCACATTTTTATTTTTACTGAGCTTAGCTTCCACCTTTGCAGTGTATGAATCTTTTGAAGGCACTTAGAGTGCTCTTTCATCTGAATTTCCAACTCAGCAGTATCCTGTCCTCAATGTAATAGACTGGCAGAATGTCCTAGGGACTGGTGAGGCCAACTAAACTGTGGTCCTTAACTGGAGTCAAGGTAGCTTTGAGGCTAGATAGTAAAGGAATACTTTCACTCCTACCAAGTAGGGAAAAGGTGGGTTTGTTTTGCTTTTTTCCAACATGGATAATTTAGAAAATCACCAATGTATTAAATATATGAAAGGCACTGTGCTAATTTACACCAGGTAAGCAAGACACATTTATATCAGCATCTGGTATTGTACAAATCACCTAATTGTGCTTTTGACTTTGATAACAGTTTTTAAATTTTTTTTTCCTCCAGGGGTGGGAATAGTTTTTTATTGACTACTTTGGTATGGAGGAGATATCCCAAGGCCCTTCCTATACTGCTTTCATAGTCACTACCTTGTAGGGCAGGAAACCAATTCTAAAGATGTTTCCATTGTCAAAGGTATACATTTTGACTTTACTTTTGGGAGCAGGAGGGATAATTATAGGCAGTATAGAGTATAGGTAAAGTTTATAAATAACTAACAATTCATGCACTCATCTGCTAACCCAAATGTTGAAGGTTGAGGTCCCTCAGTAGGATGGCCAAGTGTTCTACTGAACTTTCCAACAGTTCAGACATCAAAAACCCCAGGGAGCACAGTTGTCATCAGAAACACAGGAGGTCATCATGAGTCAGTATCAGCTTGATGCCAACTGGTTTTAAAATTTTGGTTTAGAAGGTCTTCACAGGAGTAGAAAGCTTCATCTTTGTCTCTTGAAGTGGCTGGTGGTTTCTAACTGCTGACCTTGAAGTGAGCAGCCCAATATGTCACCAATAATATTTTCTCTAAGCTGTTGTTTTATTTTGATACATCCACTCTGGCAAATGCTGTCAGTTCACTTTGGGGAAAACGGTAGGTCATATTTCTAATATGATTTAAGATGTCACATTTTGGATTTTTCTCAGGGGATTCCCCACAATTAAGACATTCTAAGTCTGTGAATTGACTGGTGATGGAGTTAGATGAATGATATTACTTTAATGTTATATTTCAGAGCTCTGCTTTCTATAAATGGAAGATTTTTCTTTTCAGGAATTTAAAATTAAATGTGATGTCAGGAGGTTCCTCTCTAGTGTCATTCTAAAGACCTCATCATCAGTTGACCATTCAAGACTGGCCTATCTTTTCTTGTAGCAGTAGCCACACAAGCTGTTCCTTCAGAGACTGAGGGCTTCGCTGACTTTTGCCACCACCCATCTCTGTGGAAATTAGGTTTCCCATTTGAGCTTCAACCAAGGATGCAATCTTCAACTATGCTGGCACTTTACTCGCCACTGCATTTATCAAAGCTTCGAGGAAGGAATTGTATTCTAGCCCTTATTGGTTGTAAGTAGGGGTTGTGGATTATTTCAAGGACAGAGGGGTGACAGATGCTGCAAATCTGAAATATACAAACCAAAGAACCCCAAGCGTAGACCTATTTATTCCTCCTCGAGCCAAGCAGGAGTTTCAAACAGCAGAGCACAGCAAATACATTCATGTCTTCCTTGGATAATCTCAGATGCTCTTGCGTTTCACAATACAAGTGTTTAGAACTCCATTATATTATTGAGTCATATTACATATTACATTCCCATGTAGTTATTTTTAAATTTTATGTAATATTGTGGAATGAAATACATCTGTGACCTTTTTATTTTTCAAATTGTGGATTGAAAAGTCAATTTAATATTTTGTGGAAAACAATAACAAAAAAGAAACAAAACGAAATAGAGATTAGAGTGCATTACATGTGCAACGTTAGGGTAAATATTGTTTTGCGAGGCTTGTTTTTGCTTACATACAATACAACATAATAAAATAGTCAATGATACTTTAGATTTAACACAATTTCAAAGTTCAAATGGTAGACAATTTATATTGTGCCTATTTATCTTTAAACTCTTATATTTGATCCATCTCTCAGGAAATAAACACAAGCATAGTTTTCAGGAAGAGCACATATATACTATTTTTTTTTTCTGAGCCTTGCTTATCTCAGAATAATTTTATTTTCCCTTAACATTGAAAATATAATTTAACTAAGTATAAAACTATTTCATTATAATCTTCTTCATAGTAAACTCCATTTATTTCAATCCATTGCCTTTGGGGTATGCACTGTAGAGAACTCTGAGGCTTATGGTCTAAACTGTTCATAATCTTAGACTAAATATGCATACGTATTGTAGAATTTCCCTCTGCTCTCCCTCTGCTTTTTTGATTGTAGTGTTTTGACAAGTATGGAGGTGTGAGTCTCCTCTTTTGGTCTGTCTGGTCTTTCACTTGACACATTTCTTTCTCCATTTCAAATTCTAGTGGCAATTATTGTCAGTAGTACAGGCATACCCTCAAAGCAGTTCCAATTATCTTGCACTTTTTTTCTTTTGCTCTTCAAAATGATCAATTTTAACTTAGCATTAACATGTTGATTCAGTCTTTCCTCTCTAATACAGTTCTACAGCTTATGCAAAATTATAGTGACTATTTGAAAGAAGCAAGGCTGTTCATGTTGTTCCCAAAGGAGTGTTGCTTACAAGTTGAAACGACACAATACAGGATGAGAGTGCACCCTGAAAAGAGCGTGGGTTCTACTTTCACAATGACAGCCTACAGTGGCATTTTTATAAAATCATGTTCTTGCTCTGTCTTTGACTTAATCTTATTTGACTCTGTCTTGTCTGACCTTTTCTCCTGCCAAGTTGCCCTTCTGTATTTTACTATGGCTGGTTTTTCTAGTTACAGCTGGTTAAGCTTTGAATTGCTAAACACGAGGTTTGTTGTTCAAACACAGGAGCTGTTCTGCGCCTCAGAAACTCCATGTAGGGGCACTAAGCTTCAGAAGGAACTCGAGGAAGTGGGCTTAGATTCTTGCGATTTTCAACAAAGCCTGGAGGGTTTTACTTTGGGACATTTGCACAGGGTGTTCCTTCTCCCCGGAAGACTCCTACCAGGCCATCCCTTGGTGGGCTCTTGTCACTCAAGTTATTTAAATGTCCCTCCTCAGCAGAGTCCCAGGACCACTGGGAGTCATAGCTTTTCCTAGAATGTACTTTCTTAGAATTTATAACTACCGAACAGTTTCTTGGCTTGTGAATTTTCATCATTTGTCTCTTCTTTCTGACAAGATAAGATCTCGTCCATTGGAGTGCTAAATCTGCAGTCCATAACATGTCCTGAATGATTGGGTACAACCTAATTAATCAGTGATTCTAAACGTAAAATTATTTGGGTATAGTATTTTAAAATGTGCACATGCTTCTTAAAATAGTTTAGCCGTCTTAATTCTAAGAGGAGAAAAATCAAGTCTTGTTAATTATCTTAGACATTACATTTACCCTTTGTATTTTATTTTTCTCATAGTGCTATTAGGGTTATTTATTATTTAACTTAAATCAATTGTATAAGGGACCCATACCAAGGTCACTTAGTTGAATGGTATCTGTGAATCTTTTGAAACATTATACATAAGGTACTAATATTCATTCTAAACATTCTGCAAACTTAACCCCATAGCTATTATTACTCCAGGCTGCAGAGGACAAGTGTCAAGGAAAACAATTTATGATTTTAAAAATATATCCTTTCTTTGTCAAAAAAATACACGTGACCTAATATATTACTCTAAACACATCTTGCTTCCAAGAACTTTAAGGCAAATCGGGTCAAAATTGCAATAACCAGGTCCTCATAGGTGCTCAAAACCATCCAAGAACTCGGTTTTTTAGGCCAGCAAATCAAATCAACTCACTTTTAGAATCAATAAATGCAAAAGACCATCTCCAAAAAATGGGTTCATGTACAGAAACATACATATCATTTCAGTCGTTTCCAACTTCAGCATGTGATTGACAGGAACCCGGCCAAGCTTCTAGAGTAACCCGCATCAAGACCCCCTGCTGTAGCCAAGGTCTGCTCTTTTCTTCCCACCTGTTTCAGCTTGCATTGCCACTTGTGTTTAATAAAGAAACAAAGCACTTAAATGAAATTCTAGTAAATGTCTTTGCAACTTCCTATGGTTCTGTTTTATGAAAGTCCTTATCTAACCTTGGGAATCAAGGTTGAGAAAGCCAGCTGAGTTTTTTCAATCTTTATTAGTTTCCATGTTCATTTTTACATACAAAGTTATAACCCCAGAGGGGTGCAATAGAATGTGAAACCCACTAGAAGACCTCATTAGTATATTATAATTTCCCTTCCAATCTTTAAATGTCCATATTAACTTTTATGGTCAGAGTGAATCTAGTGTGCCATGTTCTTTCCAAAGAGGACTGTGCCCGGCTGGTGGTGGCACAGCGACAGAGAAGTCTTCATGAAAGGTGGGCACCGACACAATGGAGCTAGTGAGAGGCCTTCCCAAACTAGCATCTGTCCATCATTGTGAGCACACGTACCTTGCAGTTGGTACTGACACAAGTCTCTCTCACTTTAGAATTGACTAATCTCATGACTGGAATTTTGAGTAAGTAAATTACATGGTGGATTTTCCAAAATTGACTGAAGTTGAATCCGTATGTTAATTTATGCTTCAGTGTATGTAATCTTTTGAGTCCAAACGGACAATTGAATAATATTTATCTTATATAATCTTAAATATCAAATTCTGAAAGAAAATATTTTTCTAGGTTAATAAAATAGCATAATGAAAACCTTTATTTATTTTTCTCATTTGACTGAAATAAGAAACCTAACTGACCAGGAAAAATGACAATTGAAGTTCTGCATGAAACATTATGTCTCATAAAACAATGTCAAGAGGATTGTAAAACTGTGTGCACTGCTCTTAGTTGAATGGCAGGAAATCAAATGCATTTACCTTTGAAAAGCAGAGGGTGCTCACTGCCTCCAAGCCTCAGTCTGGACTTTCAGGAGGGAACTGACAACCATGCAGAGATGATCTTCGGGTTTGCAAGGAAAGAGAGTGGAAGAACCTCTCTCTGGAAGGAAAACTTAGGTCATTTCTCTCTCAACTCGTAACTATTCCAAGGTGCATGTGGAACACATGGATATTCTGCCCCTTTCCCCCCAGAGTAGAAAACAGATTCTAAATAAAAATAGTCTGAATTATTATAAAGCCTAAAATAACAATGGAATATTTAAAATTATAATTCATTGAACTAGTGAAAACTGAACATGTCATCTTCCACAGTGATTTGCAGTCATCCTTTGCATGTTATATTTAGACGGCAACCAAATTTTAATTTTTAATTAGGAGACATTAAAATGTAATTAGCAGCAAATAATAGCTTGACAAAGTTACAAAAATTCATAAAGGTCAAAGAAAGCAGCATGTTCAGCCGTAGCAGGAAGTGTTCTTCCATGAATTTAGAAAGCCATGGTGAATGCATTCCTTCCTCCACATTCATTTCCAAGGCAAAATTTCTAGAAGCAAGATCCCTTTTTGACAATAATATAGAAATAGGGGTCAAAACCAGAATAGACATTCTTCACAGTCAAAAGACCCTCAAATTTTAATAAACCCTATACATAAAAAAAATCCCAGCAAATTCCAACACAGCATACACATAATAAAATTAATTAATTTATCACAGGCCAACACAATGTTCACTGTGCATTTTCCAGAAAGAAGCAGAAGGCAACAGAGACCACCTGCAACTGTCAAACCTGTAAAGTCAAACAATGCTCTACACAATTCACACAATAGATGAAGTACAAATGAAAAACAAATGCTTTACCAAAAGTTGGGTGGTGGCTGGACCAATAGATATCCATATGTATATATATATGCATATGATAAATGATAAAAATCAGCTTGCTTTTGGGTCATAGTATATCTACTTTGAAGTTATAGCACACACATACTATAAGCAATTTACAGAAATTGTCAAGTTTGCATATACAGGAATTGTGAAATGAATAAAATACACTGAAATATAGAACACTCAAAGTTATTTATACAAACATCCCAGAATGAACAGGGATTGGTCATAATTAGCACTTGCCACCAACGAACAAGAGATGTGCAAAAAAGGAAATAAAAAGGAAATTTGAAAAAGAAATGACAATTAAAAAACCAACAACAACCTCTTTCTTATGTTATTCCATATTTAAGGTGATGTTCTTTTTGTTGATAATTTTGTTCTTGCCCGACACGGGGACTTTTGTTGGATCATAGTTGGTGCTCTGTCTCCTTTTGATCTCTGTTTGCTTCCTGGAGATAAAGGGTCTTTGAATGAGTAAGGAATCAGTGGTTTCCATGGTAAGCATTCACTAGACTGATGAGGTTCAGGCCAATCCCTGAGGAGTCAGTGTGATGATGCCTTAAGTTGCCCAAAGAAAAGGGATGGGGGGAAATCTTGCTGCTAGAAAGTGTCCTATCGTGCCACACGACTTCTCTTGAAACAATAACAAAAATCAGTGGCTTGCCAAAGAAAATAGCAACAAAACGTGTGAAAGCCTCTTCGTTTATGCTTCCTGAAGCAGGCGCTCCTTGTGTAGGTAATTAGAGGACAGTGGGTGCAGAGTGGTGCTGGGAGTTTAGGGTCAACTTTGCTGTCCGCTCCGTAGGGTTTACAGGCGATTTGCTCTTTGCTTTAAGAAGAGAAAGTGATATTGGAAAAAGTCAGCACTTTAGATTAAAGCAAAGCACCCTTCACAAAGCCACAAACAAGAAGCAGGACAGAAAGTCCATGGCTTGTAGCTATCCTCGCACCTGCGGAAGAAGTTATAAGATATTCGCTCATCTTGAAGATTTCCAATGCTCCTTATTAGGCTGTTTTAAACACATACATATATATATTTGGCTCTGGTGCTCATGAATGTCTTGGCATGCACTGCAAATAACAACACATACAGAGTATTTCAGTCCCAGGAAGTTGGTCGTGTTTGTTCTGTTTTCACACAATGCCATCACATGTTTGGGAACACCTAGGAACCGATGCAGATATGTTTCCCTCAAGCGATTTCTCAAGGCTCCTTGCCTATGGCCATTTGATTTTCCTGTAGTGGAACCTCAAATTGCATCCCCTGTACATAAGCTTAAAACTATAGGACATAAAATAAAAGCTGAGCACAGCAGGCTTTACAGTGATAGGATAGGTGGTCCAGGGTGGGTTTCTTTGGACATTTACTTTTAGAGTCAGTGATATCTCAATTTTATATATTTGATATCTGAGGAAAAATTAGTGCCCAGCAAGAATTCAAAATTTAAAGTACTCCAGGACTGAGGGAGAGAATTAAATTGTTTTTCTGGACATATTTTGTTCAGCGAAGGTGAGGGGATTCGATCATTTACATATCTTAGCTAAACCCATGTTCAGGTTCATTCTAGCAATGATAAATTGAGACAAAAACACATTATAGACAAACAATGTGGGAACCTTAAATAGCTAACTAGGGGATCCATGCCATTGTTTTCTGGTCATTTACTTTAGTATCATCGGCACTATTTTGCCCTTGTTAAATGATTGAGCACTCTCTTCTCACAGCAGCCTGGTGACTTAAGGGAAAAAGATTGGTGGCGGGGCTCTGGAAGGTATTTCTTTAGTCACATTGGGTGAAAAGACTCAAAAATTCAAAACACGATCACCTAGCTTTCATAAGTTAGTAAATAATTCAGGAGGAAAATCTATGCACTCTTTGTACCACCATAGCCATTAGCACTCTCCACAATGCAAATGTATCCTGTAATCTTTGAAAAGAGATTTCAAGAGGGGATTCTTCATATGAAATATAAAAAGGGGTAAAGAAAATGACTGAATGGCTTCCTAAATAGCCAATGCCATTTAATTTGGCACAAAATCTCTGGGTTTGAAGAAAGTTCTAAAAAAAGACTAAAAGAAATAATATCAGTTAAATACGCTATCCTTTAAAAAGGATTTTTTAATTTAGTGATTTCTCTGGAACATACACATTACAATTGACCCAAATTTCCTGAAACTGCACTTGTAAAATGCTGCATCCTCTTAGTCAGCATTCATAGGAAATTCCTGGACTGCCCCACCTCCCACTATAAGATTGTCCATGTTTGACCCAACATTTTCCATTATACCATGTCAGCATGTGCAAGTGAAAGGAAAATTTACCTAAAATTTTCTTTCGCATAATTGAAAAAGATACCCAATTATGTACTGTAACCAGAAAAGTATCAACATTTTTAAGGTTAATAAATAATTGGAATGCCATTAGGTATTAAATATACCATTGCAATATGGTGCTTTTTTTCAGGCTATAATCAGTCATCCACTCTAAATAAATGCATTTCATAACATATCCTTAAGTAAAGATAATGTATCACTGTCAAGCCAATTATGTGATAAAACTGAGGTGTTTTTTTCCCCAACACAGCAAACTATAAAATATGCCACTTTTTCATCAAATCACTACTCATTTTTTCCTCTTTTTAAATGTTCTTCATTTACTTGTGAAATGAATTCTACATAGTAAATTATATATATTGAATTATATTGCATTTTTAATAATATGCGTATGGGACCCCAGAGCTGTTCAGACATTCAAATCTAAGAATCTAAATGCATAGTGACTTTCACAAATAATTATTGGAGCCAGTTTCACTTGGGTTTACATGTTTTCTACATATTACTTATAATAACATAATATTGACAGATTTACCATAGTCCCAGCTGCACCCTTCCCGTTTCTCAAACAGCTCATGGGCTATTCTATAGAAGTTTTCTTTTTTGTAAAAGGGGACCTTTGGCCACTCATCCTGCTTTTATTCTCATTTTTACATTTGAAAACATTTCATTTTTGCTAAACAAGACCCAGAATTGCAGCCAGCAGCTCCGCAGAGTCTAATTTCCTCTGCTGCCCGTAGCTTTTGAGATCCCAAATAAGATTTCTTCTATGTTTCCTAAAATGAGCACAATGACTGTTCATGCATGATTGTATTTTTCTTAGTATGCAAGACACTGTGCTGGAATAAGATCACAGCTTAATTTTCCCCCTCTGTTATACTTGGGCTCCACATCTAGACCAAACGGGATAACTTAGTCTACCTTTAATGAAATTGTGCATTTAAGTAACCACCTGTCATGTCATTCTTAATAAACCCAATATTATCGAGTCTATTCAGGCTCATCGTGACCCTACATAGGTTTTCAGAGGCTGTCAATCTTAAGGGCTTGATAATCTTATCTTTCTCTCACAAGGTAGCTAGTGTATTTGAACCCCCAACCTTTTATTAGCAGTCCAACACTTGAACTTAAGTAGGATATTGTTTTTTGTTTTTTTCCTGTGGACCAAATAGATTTGTAATTAATTATACTTTTACCTTCATCTTTCTAGCTAAACTACAAACTCTTTCATGACAAAAGTTAAATATTTAGTGAGTTTTTTTTAATTACTCAAATTGTTTAAAGCAATGTCTTCAAAAACTTTAAACTTTGCCCCAACATAAAATACTCTATGGAGACAAAAGGGAGATGCTCTTATCTGAATTATGTGAAGCAAATGCACAGGTAGGAAGCTTAGATGAAGAGCAGTAAGAAAGAACCCGAGATTTCTTGTCTCTGATTCTGATGCCTTTCACAACCCCACTATGTCTACTTAATGATGATGCTTTAAACGTGTGCTTCATTTATTTAGATATTGTTTCTACGCTTAAAGATCTCTTATAGGATTTTCTTATGTATCTATCTCCATGTCTCTTTAAGAAAACGGTATTATCAAGGGAGATGGTTTCTACCTTTTCCAAATAGAAAAGTCTAAGAAGTCTTAGAAGTCTAAGTAGTGCAGAAATTTAGCATCCAACCTTATCCTCTTTTGCTCTCTCTTCTTCTGCCTTTTGCAATAGCTCATATTGGTATCTCTTTCTCTAACATAAGACAAGCAAGCATTTCTCATGAGTGTTAATAATAAGGGTTCCGTGGGGCAGGGGTGGGGGTGGGATAAAGAGGAGCTGATATCAAAGAGTTCAAAAAGGAAGAAAATGTTTTGAAACTGATGATGACAGAAATTGTACATTTATTCTTGATCTAATTGAATTATGGATTGTTATCATATCTTTAAGAGCTCCCAATAAAATGATTTTTCCAAAGAAAAAGGCAAAAGAGTGTCTATGACAATCAAGTTTGCCAGAGAAGAAACAAGCAAAAAGCATCAGGTATATTATCTTCACCATAATTTTGAATGCATAAGAAAACAGAACATTGACAAATAAAATAAAACCAAAATACTTGGATACCTTGGCATCTTCAGCAAGCAAACAAATGATGATAGATCACTCTATTCTCTTTTATCAATTTCCTTTTATAACAGCTGTGCTATCTGTAGCCTTAGAGGAAATTATGGCCACTGAGGGATTAGTAACCTGTCATTGTCTTCATTCTATTTAAGCTGAACATAGCTTCCATCCAGAAAAATCAGCAGCAGCAAGAAACTGTTCATCCTCCTTCCTACCCTTTTACTCTCTCATCAATCGTGTGCCAAATGAAAGGACTTAGCTCCATTTCACAATTGTGCTCGGGTCGCCGCTGACACCTGGCAACCTCATGGGTGTGAGAACAGAAATGTGTTCCTTGGACTTTGCAATGACTGGTTTTCCAAAACCATATTGCTTGACTTTGCTTCTGAGTGAACGTTGGGTAGAATAGACACTCCAAACTTTCAGTTAGCAGTCAGTGAATTAACGGTTTGCACCACTCAGGAGAGGCTCCATTACTGTTACTGTATGTTACCGATGTTTACACACACTAACCTGAAAGCATCAGGCAGATTTAATAACACTCCCTCCTTCTTGTTCTGCATTTTCTTGAATAATATATTGGACATCTACTAAGTGCTGAGCAAAAAGCATTAGACACTTAGTATGCATTGTTCCATTCCATCCCATCAACAGCCCGCTATAGTAAATATGATGAATTTTCTTTTCCAGATCAGAAAACTGTAACTCATCAGTACGAAGTAACTCAGCCTAGCTTCCAGGAGGAGTAAGTAGTAAAATGCGGAAATGAAGCAACTGCAATGCAGTCAAGCACATGATGTATCTGCTTCTTCCTGAGACCGCCCATTTCCCCTCATTTGTGCAAAGTGATCTATGAAGCTATTATTTCACACATAAAGGTCTATTATGTACATTTGGAGAAAATATACTAGATATAACATATCTCAGAAAAATAAACATGTAAAACTTCTCTTTTTTCAAAACTGAAACGGATATATTTGACATGACAACATTAGCATCCTAGTGCTCCTAAAGAATAAGTTTGATTCCTTCTACAGGCATACCGCAAAGATATTGTGGGTTGGTTCCAGACCACTGCAGTAAAGTAAATATCTCAGTCGATTCATAGCATTTGTTTTTGGTTTCCCAGTGCATATGAAGTTATGTGAATGCTATTCTGCCATTTATTGTGTGCAATAGCATTTTGAAATAGTTTGAAATATTATGGGAATTACCAAAATGTGACAGAAAGACACGCAGAAAAGCACATGCTGTTGGAAAAATGGCACAAAGATACTTGCTTGAAGAATGGTTGTTGCCAAGTTTCAGTTCACAAAAAATTCATTATCTGTGAAGTGCAATAACAAAATATGCAATCATTGACATTCAAGATAGAAAACCCTTCAGA